TACAATGTACCATATTATGAATATAATTTTTTTTTTTAAAGTCAGGGATTAATAACGAGCATGACACGAAGTTGATCTCCCACTTTCAACCGACTATAAAGTTCCAAATTCAGATAGGTAATACTATATAAGAAGAATTTATATACATAATGAAAAAAATTTATAAAGAGTTAACATATCTATTACTTTGATTTATAATTATAAAAATGCTATTGACATATTATTCTTATCGTAAATTTTATATGAAAATTTTGTATAAATATCATTTTTCAATTCAAATATGATAAATAAAATGTTTTTCATTGCTGGCCTCGTTTGAGAAGATGAGATTTTAACTAGAAAGTCGCTAAAATAACAAAAAAAGTCAAAAAATTATTAAAGAGTCAAAGATTTTTTCTTTATAGTACTTTTTGCATTATTTTATTTTATAAAAAGTTAAAAAATCATTCTCAAATAATTTTCATACCTTCACCTCATATTTTAACTAAAAACTAGAAAATCACTAAAAAAGTCACTTTCCAAATGAACTATTAGAAGTATAACGGAGAAAAAGGAAGGAGGGGGGGGGTACAAAATTATACATTAGTGAAAAAAGTAGTTAATTGGTAAAAAGTCTATTCCTAGGAGGTCAAATATAATTTTGTCCAACATTTAATCTCTTTTGGTGATAAGAGCAAGTGTTAAAAAATGGTCTAAAAAGTTATCAGAGCAGGAAAAGTCACTGACAGTTGGCGGACGATGATGGCCAAAAATGGCTACAGCTGGTGACAGTGAATTGAACATATAAGTGATATTGAATCAATAGATGACACATGTACAAATAGTGAGATATTTGAACAGATAGGTGATACATTTACAAATAATAGAAAATTTGAATAGATAAGTGACATTTGAACAAATAGAAAGATAGGTAAAGTTTGAATAGATAAGTGTCTTTTTTAACAAATAATATCATTTTGATACAAAAAAATTTAAGCTTGAAGCCCAAGAGTTTCAGAAATGAAACTCTGGCCTATGTGCTCAAAAACAAAAAAAAAAATTGGAGTAATTTGAAGTATGTTGTAATTTAAAACTTGACTTGCACCTAAAAAGATTTTCATTCATTTGTAAATTGTTTTAATCTTCTATGCTGAAATGTTATTTTGCCAATATTAATATGGATTTCATTCAGCCCTTCTTTTTTTCTTTTTCTTTTTTTTTCTTTTGTAGAGCTGGCAAATGTCTATAACCATGCTAAATCAAGCTAGTTTTATTTTGTTGGATTTAATTATGATCAAGTGAATTATTTAAGGAAACTATTTGAGATCTCAAAAAAAAAATTACAATTTGACTTGTATTGATGTGGTATGATAGATGTTTACTTTTAATTTGTTATACACCCAGTGATATAGGATTCAGCTCCTTTACCATATCATTATAAGTGAATTTATGAATTTATAATTATGAGTTTTTAACATTTCTCTTACCTACACTCAGCAAAACAACAGTACACACTTTATTTTATGATAAATAAAATATGTATAATCTCTAGATATTGATTTACATTTAAATAATCTAATCTATTATTAATGGATGTGAGATTTTATCAACAGTTTAGCAAGTATCTTAATCTAACATATTGGTCGTCCTCCTTTGCAGATGGAACTGCAAAGTCCCAACTCATTTGATTCCATATTCGATGTGGTGATTGGTTCATGTATCAAACAATATGAATTAATTTGACAGAACTCACCCTTAAAATTTTTAAGTTACAATAGAGGATGCCCAAAAAATTATATTCAACACAAAATACAGAAATCATCATTATTTTTTCTTTTGACCTTTATTATATGAATCCCAATAAATAAATAAATAAATAAATACTAAAATAATGTAGTGAAAAATGTTATGAGTGTCATCGCCTCGCTTGAAAACATCATTTTTTTAATTTAAAAGTCAAAAAACCATTTAAAAAGTCAAAAATCTAACAAATTATATATATATAAAAAAAAGTCAAAGATTCTATTTTCTCTTTACTTTTTGCACATCTTTTTGTAAAAAACTAAAAAGTCATCACAAACATATTAATTTTTTTTATTTCATATTTTAGCCAAAAAATCAAAATGTTACTAAAATAACATATTCCCAAACAACTATTAAGTAATAAAAAATAACAAATCTAAAAAAAATGTAATAAAAAATAATCTATTTAATGTTGTTATTTTTATTTATGGAAAACACTACTAAAGTGACACAGTATGATATTTCGGGGGGTTATTCTAGAATACACACCCTCAAAAGAGTGAGTATCATATGCAATTAATTACTACAAATGTAACAACTAAATTATTTTCAATTATACCAAAATAATAATAATAATAAGTCATAACTAAAAAAAATTAAAAAAATAATCATAATAAATTATAACTAACACCATGAGTGATAACTTTATAACCAAAGACAAAAATAATAACCGAGACATATGATATACTAACACACTCTAAAATTGGGTGTGTATTATAGAATTTTTCTATTTTACAAATGCTAAATTTTTTGAATAATAAATTCTATAGTACAAATTAAATTAGCATAGTATAAGAGCATCTCCAACGGGTCATCAAACATTTCATCAAATCTAAGTAAAAATATGACCAATTCCTCTATTTGATATCAGACGCTCCAAAGGAGCTTTCGTCAAATCACAGGACGTTCGGAGGGTCAACCGATTGGTCAACCAGGAAGAGCAAAATTATTATTATTATTATTGTTATCTTCATTTTTGTTTCCTCAATTCAAACAAGAATTCTTCAGAATATGCACAGTGAGAATTCTTCACAATACATATATACACAAATTATATATTTTTACATAATTTAATTGTTAGTCAAGAAGATTGGAAGATTGAGGAATTAAAAAAGGTTGAACAACTGTGGATCAAAAATTGAGAGATGATTAGAGAGAGAGAGAAAGAAACTTAATGGATCAGAAATTAAAAGAGAGAAAGAGAAAGATCAAGAAGTTTGAGAGGTTTGGTAGGAAAAGAAAGATTTGTAAAATGTGGATGTATAAAGATTGTTGTTAAATTCCAAATCAACGTAAAAATACAGAGATGAAAATATGGACTTCATCTTCTATTTGAGATTGAGCTCTTGGGTGCTCAACTTATACTCATAGAATTGGAATTGGAATTGGAGGTATAGAGCGGATCAGAGGTGAGAATTGAGAAACAGAACATGATGAAAATGAATTTAGGAAAAAATGGAAATGGAGTTAAAAAAGATGCTAAGGCGGTCGATAAGGGGTCGATCTATCAATGTAAATTTTTTGCCTTAAAGCGGTTATCTAGGCCCCGTTTGTTTTCAGAGGTAGAATTGAGAGGATTAATAATGAGGGGATTGTTAGTGAGGGGATTAATAGTGATGGGATTAAGTAAAATTGTGTTTATTTTGATGATAGTTGTTAGTGTAGGGATTGTTAAATTATTTTTATACAAAATAATAAAACAAATAAAAAATACAAAAACATTAAACATTAATGTTTTTTAAAAAAAATGCCCAACATATAAAAAAAATTTAAAAAATAAAAATAAAATAAAAAAATTTCTAGAAAAAAATAAAACAAATAAAATAATGATTTTTACCTAACAAAAAATACAAAAAATTAAACATTAATGTTCAAAAAAAAATATCCGACATGTAAAAAATAAAATAAAAATAGAAAAATTTAGTCCACCAGAATATTTTTCTAATACCAAGTCCTGGAGGCCTATCCGAATCCCCTTGGGGAGGTTCATCCTAATCCGGAGCTCACTATCAATTCCCTCCCCATCTCTCGAAACAAATACAATATTAGTGGGTCCCACCTCACTACCAATCCTAATCCCCTCTCTAACTCTCCAAACAAATGAGGCCTCAGGGAGATATTCGGCCAGACATTCAGTCGACCGTCCGATGGGTCCAACTCAACGGCTATGCATAGTGAATTGCTAAAAGATCCAAGTCATCCTTAGTTTGATATTTTCTCAATTTGATACCGTTTTGGTGCAATCATTGGAGTACAAAAAATATTTTTTTTCATCAAATTTAAATATGATAATGAATTTAATGAACAGTTAGAGATGGTTTAAGGTGTTCATAAAAATGAATGTCTGATTTTGAGAAAAATTCAAAAAATAAATTCTAAATTTGTAAACACTTAGATTTAGCCATATTAAGTAAGGGGTGGTTTATAATATCCTAAATAAGTGTATTTTTTGACTTTTTATAAAAATATGTGTAAAAAAATAAAGAAAAAATATTAATTGATGTAACTTAAAAAAAATAAAAAAATAACTAAAATAGATTAGCCTAAGCGAGGTTTAAGTATTTTAATATATTTTTTAATTTCAAACGTGTGACAAACGTAATCCGAAGGAGTTGCTGTAATCCACCACGTCTATTTGATGACGTCATCAGTCATGGTCAACAAGAAAAAATTATTTAGGAAAATGCTTGGAACATTTTTTTTGGGGGAATCCCATCTTTTTCAGATCTCAATCATTATTATATGTGTGAGATTCATTTATATATATATATGTGTGAAATTCACATTATCAATGATTGAGATATAAAAAGATTGTAAGCATTCCTAAAGAAACAAAGATCTCAATCATTGTTAAATTATTTGTTTGGTCAAGAGACTGGTGGTATGTAATTATGAAAAAATATTTTAAAATTTTAATAAATACATAAAAATATAAAAAATGTACTGAATTCTCATATATTTTTTTATATTTTTGGTATTTAGTGAATTTTTAAAAAGTTTTTTTTACAATTTTTTTAGTTTTTAGATATATTTATGTTAGGTATGTCTAAAAAATAAAAAAAAATTACTTAAAATATTAAAAAAATTCAATAAAAACAAAAAAAATACAGAAAATAAGAAATTAAAATTTTCTAAAAAATATTTTCTCTCTCTTCTCTTCTCTGTCCTCGTATATATACACCCACACGTGAGATAGAAAATTGAATCCATCTTTTCATTTATAGGGTTACTTCATAGGGGGGGTCTCCAGATAGGTGTTGTTTTTATTTATTGATAGTATAGTATAATACTAGTAATCCAAAACTATCGTAATCCCTACCGTATAATACTTTTTGTTTGTTTGTCTCACCATGGTTGAAGAGCTTGGAGGCTTCTCTGCTTCTTCTTCTTCTCAAGACTTTCACAACCCCGTATACAACAACTCTGCTTCCAAGAGGATGAAGATTTTCTCGGAATCCAATCACCAGGTCTTTTTTCTTTCTCTTTTTATTGATTCTCTCTGCGGAATTGAATCTTCTGGAGTTTTTTTTGAGAGATTTATGGGTTTTAGAACCTTGAGTCTTGACACAGTTTCAACCATTATAGGACCTCTGTTTCTTCCATAATTGGTGTTTTTGCATTACTGTGTTTCAATGGTTTTGTGCACATGCAAATCTTTAGATTGTTTTTTTTCCTTTTCTTTTCTTTCTTTCTTTTTTAAATTTTTATTGGCCAGTCTATTGTTTTATGGCTTGTATCAAACAGATTTCAATTCTTATAATCAGAAAATAAAAATTAAAAACACATCTTCTTTATTTCTCAATAATTCGTTTATTCTACTTATTTAAGTTATTTAACTACACTAGTAAAATTGCACCAAACAAGCCCTTGATGGGCTTTGTACATCAGTCTTCAGCTTGTAGATTTGGTTTCTAATTTTTATTCAAGAACTTCAAAATTGTTGTTTAGTTTGCTGTATTATCTTGAACAATTCTTATTCTTTGCTTCTTCTTTTTTTCTATCTTTTTTTTTTTTTCAAACATTTTTGTTCTTTTCTGTTATGGGTAGTGTGAAAGAGGTTTTAAATAGTTTTGACATGTGGTTTTGGTGTATCAGTTTTTGAGTTTTTTGTTATTTATTCATGAGCTTCAAAATATTGATGCTCTGTATTTTACTTTCCTCAATTCAATAGTAATCTCATTAATTTTTCTTTCTATTTGTAGAAAGAAGAAACAAGTCCTCTTGGTTTGACATTAAGAAAAACACCATCTTTTGTCAACTTGGTAGAGATGAAATTATCCCAAGCAAGGGGCTCAAGCTCTTCAATTGACGGTTATCGAGCAAAGATGGATGATTCCCAACCCATCGTTGAGAAGTTGAAGGCCTCAAACTTCCCTGCTTCATTGCTTAAAATTGGCACTTGGGAGGTAAATTTTGAGCATACCAAGAAAAAAAGAAAAAAAGAAAAAAGGTGTTTCTATTCAATCCAAATGGATTAATTTAATGCAATTGATTGAAATTTTTGCAGAGGCTTTCTAAGCACGAAGGCGATTTGATAGCAAAAAGTTACTACGCGAAGAAGAAAATTGTGTGGGAAGTTTTGGAAGGGCCTTTGAAGAGTAAGATTGAAATACAATGGTCTGAAATCGAGGCGATTAGAGCTACCATTCGTGATAATGAGCCGGGGATTCTAGAAATCGAGGTTAATTTAATGAATTTCGATCAAAAACATCATCATTTAATGATTTTATGGAAATCTAATTTTAATTTTGGTGACTATGTGTGCAGTTAAAACAACCGCCTCAGTTCTTCCGAGAGACTAATCCGCAGCCACGAAAGCATACGCTTTGGCAGCAGTCATCGGACTTTACCGGAGGTCAAGCTCCCCTTTGCAGGTTTCACATAAATCTTCTTCTTTTTTTAGTTCCTCCTGTGTCTTTTAATTTTGGTTTCTATTTGTGAAATTTTGAAAGCAGTTTTTACATCTTTTTATTTAAAGATTAATTTGATGAACTGGGGAGTTCTTAAATTAAGCCTCCAACATTTGTCTTTTCTTTCTTTTTATTGAATTTTTTTTTCCTAGTTTTGTTCCTGTATGGTAGACAAGAAACTTTTTGTAAAATTGCTAACAAACAAGCCCAGATAGCTTTAATTAAATGCAGGCTTCCAAGCTGCCAAAAACTATACCAAACCGTTTCATTAATGCAGGATTTTCCAAAATAAAATAAAATAAAATAAATGGGTAATTGTTTTCAGTTTATTTTATTTTATTTTATTAAGTCCAGATACTATTTTGAAACAGTTCTTTTTTCTCAGTTTCTATTGATATTTTTCTACTTATGTTCCTGTTTGGTTAACAGACACACCCAGGTATAGCTTCTACTGTTCAACTAAATGGAGGCGGCTTTGAAAATGCCAGAAACTATACCAAACAGTCGACGTTGGATTTTCCAAAATTTTGAAATTTAAAATAAAAATAAAAGTCTTACAGCAATTTTTTATTTTTATTTTACCACTTGCAAAATGGTGTCAATGAAGGCAAAGTATCGATTCATATCTAGAACTAATTTAGTCAGAATTGAATCAAATACACAAAATCTTAGACTACCATTAATAATTTTGATAATCCTAAACCGTTACGCTGAGCGAAATTACCTTCAAAGAAAATCCATTAATGAATAGACTTTTTTGCAGGAGGCATTATGTGAAATTTCCTCCGGGAATTCTTGAAAAACACTACGAAAAGCTTTTGCAATGCGACCATCGTCTGTTTGTGCTCAGCCAGAAACCTTTCCCGACGCTTGAATCTCCTTACTTCTGCTCTAACATCTTTGGGGCTACTGATATGTCTTTTGATTTCCGTGCATACCAATCACCAGTTTCTCCGAGGCTGCCATATTCTTTCTCATCTATTCCTACATCTTCTTTCGCTCCTCCTCGCCATCCAGTTCACAACCTCAGAATAACAAAACAACCTATTCATATTGTGGACTCAAATTCACCAATGTCAGGTACGCAAGTAATTTTTGATATATGATTTCTACATTCAAGCAATGTTTTAAATATTGGTCATTACATATCTTCAGGATTTTGAATTTTTGACACCGTTATTTATTAATATATATATACATATATATATATATATATATCAATTGATATTGCCCAATATTAATCGATTTATAACCTTGTAGCCAATACTAATACATATCCCAATGTTGTTATTTAAAACCATGGACTTTTTTTACCTTAAAAAATATTGTATTGATTTGTGTTTTGGTGTTATGTCATAACCAGTTATGGATTTTCCGCGAACAGATGAGAATGTTAATAATTACATGTTTGACAAGCAAACGGCAGCACATTGGGATCAAGAAAGGAAAAATGTCGAAAATATTAATGCGACTCAAGGGCTACGATCCACTCTTACTTCGGCAGCACAATCCAATGTGGCCTTTTCATGTCAAGGCTATCGTATACCAGCTTTTGGGGGAGTAGTGGGTAGGCCTAATCCAAACACTGAGATACTTTGTGACATTGAAAACCACTTGCTAAGTGACTCCCTAGTTGTATGCTCGGATGAGAGAACAGTCCTCTCCAGGGTGAAGTCAATGTGTTCATTGCTTGAGCCATCAGAGGAAGCAATGAATCCCGTACGCAATGTTGGCACAAATCACAACATTGGTGTCAATAATTCGATTTTGGGTACTACCGAGCATTTCAAGACACACGGTGGCCTAGTCTACCCACAGCAGCCCATCTGTTACTTGCCTCCGAAAGTTTCTTATGAGAACCAAATGATGCATCTTTCGAGGAACAACTATCGACATGCGCTCTCAGATCCAAAGGTGGATGATTATGAAGTGGTTGATGCTGACTATGAAGTCCGACGATGGACATGATATGGCAGTGAAGGTAAGGAAAATAGGGGATGTAACAGGCATGTGTGTGTGTGTGTGTGTGTGTGTGGGGAAGTTAATGTTTCTACACACTTGTTTGTTTCATGACTTTTTCCTCTACTTTGTAGATAGGTAATGGAAATGCTTTCCATTTCCCTTTTCTATAAATGCAAATCTTAGGGGAACATAGTTTCCTGTTTCTAAGTTTGCTCTTCTTTTTTCCTAAAGACAAAGAGGGATCTTTTGAAAATATCTCCCTATTATAAAGTTAAAGAACGTTTCAAATTTCCAAGCATAAAAACACAAGTGAGCACGCGCGCCGTACACACAAGCGTGCACGCACAGAGACATAGTGGTGAAATTTTATAAATATGATTTGAGAGTATAAGCTGTATTTTGAGTTTATGAATTATGAAATTATAATTTGAATGTAGAAAATTTGTTTGGTTATAATTTTTAAATAGAATATTGAATTGAGTTTTAAATTGAGTGTGAAGTTGAGTTTTGAAAGTTTGATTTAACATGTGAAGTAAGAAATTTGTTTGGTTATGAGTTTTGGAAAGAGTTTTTAAAACTTAATTCAAATTGTTATAACTCATAACAAAACACTAAAAATTCTTATCAACACTCATAACCAAACTCTTTTTAAAATTCAATTAAAAAAAATTATTATTAATAGAAAATAACATTAATCAATTTTTTAATTGAAAATACTACAAAGGAAATAATTTTTTTTGAAAATAAATATTCAAAAATTTTAAATCATAAATATTTAAATAATTTAAATAATCTAAAAAATTTAATACGTAAAAAATAAAAATAAATATTCAAAAAAATTAAATCGTCAAAATTTAAATAATTTAATTATTCAAAAATTTAAATTGTTAATATTTTAAATTTAAAAACAACTCTACACTCAAATCGTAATCAAACACATAAAACAAAAACTCAATTAAGAAATTATTTTTAAAACTCATAACCAAACTCATAACTCGAAACTCCATAGTACTTTTACAACTCTATACTCAAATCGAAACCAAATACATAACAAAAAAATTAAAATATTTAAAAATATTTTTATAAAATACAGTTTGAAATTATTTTTATAAAATATTTTAAAATTTAAAAAATTAAAATTGTAATATTTTGAAATTAAAATATTTTAAAATATTCAAAAATTTAAAAAATTTAAAAAATCGTAACATATTTAAATATTAAAATATTTAAAATCTTGACAAAATTAAATATTTTAAAAATATTTAAAAAATTAAAATATTAATTTGAATTGAGTTTTGAAAAGAGTTTTGAATTATGTGTTTGGTTATGAGTTTTGAAAAGTAATGATTATGTTTTGAATTGAGTTTTGAAAAATAGATGTAGAATTATGAAAAGAAAACTCAAAACAAACAACACACTCACATCAATGGGTGGAACTATAATTTGAGAAGCTTACCAAACGGAGTTTTTCAAACTTTTCATTGTTTTTATTTCAAGAAATATGAAAAACAAAAATGATAAAAATAAAAATAAAAAGATGGCCATATGCATAACATTTATCAAAAATTTCATTGTTTTTATCAAAACTGGTGTAGACATACCTATTAAAATGAAGGTATATATATACATATATATAATTTTAAAATTTATATGCATCAATTTTTCTAAAAATAAAAAAACACAATAATCTCTTTAAGAAAAAATAAAATTTATTTAGAGTTGGAAGATTTGACAATTTGAGTTTTGTAGATTTGACTGGGTGCCAAGCAATCTGCAAATTAGGTTAAAAAAACCCAATAACAGTCTTGCAACCTGTTTAGAATATCAATATCTTGAAATTCCCTCTTCTCTAATATATAGCCATGCATGTTATATACGACTGAGTAAGGAATCCGTATAATTTGTAATTTGATTCGATCCAATTTAATTCGATAGGTTTGGATTAATTTTTTTAAATTCGTAGTTAGGTTCCAAATTAAAATTTTGAAAATCTATAATTTACAGATCAATTTTAAATTGAACCCCATAATTCCAAATTAAAACTGAACTAAACTGTATATAAATAATCTATATTTACACTATATACCCTCCCACATAATTTTATTTCTTATTTCCTATAAAAGGTAAACACTAACCCTAATTCAACCCATCAGACGTCTCTCATCTCTCTCGGTACTCTCTCTCTCTCTCTTCTCGTTCTCAGACTGAGTTCTCTCTCTCTCTCTGTTCTTGTGATTTCATCTCAAATCAGATCAGGGAGCTCTCTCCCTCTCTCTATTGGTGACAGCATTTGTTGGTTTCCATCTCAAATTAGTAAGCGCTCTCTCTCTCTCTCTTCTCTTTCTCAAACTGAGTTCTCTCTCTCTATTCTTGTGATTTCATCTCAGATCAGATCACTAGCGGCTTGGTCTCTTGCTCTATCTCTCTCGGTGAGCTCTCTCTTTCTTTCTTGGTGACACTGTTCGTTTCCATCTCATCTCAAAATGTAACCCATTAACAGAGGCTAAAAAGCTACACTGTTACTGGTGCAGGCTGCTCTTGGTAAGGGTAAGAACTCGGATAGGAATGAAACGTCAGATGAAGATACAAGTCAGGGATTGGAATCTATTAAGCTAGTGGTATCTCAGTTGAATGACCTTGCTATCTCTACACATTCTACTGTGGTTGCACCTCCTTCAAACTCAACACAATGTTCAACTCCTTCAGATCCTGTTCTAGATATTGATAAAAAAAAAATTAGAGCACTAAAAAAGGTGCATGTTTTATAATTGAATCATATCTTTGTTGCCATCTTTATCTTTTTATTTGTTGGCCACTGATTGATGTGTTGTATATCATATTCATGGTCTTGGGATAGATAATATTGGCCCCGTTTGGTATAGCTGTGAGTACCTTATACTTGTGAACATAAGCTGATTTTTTACTTATAAATTAAGTTTCTCCTCCCCACTCAAAGAATAAATTGATTTTTGATTTATAAAAAGCTATAAGCTGTATTGTTAAGTTGAACCAAACACATCAAAATAGCTTAAATTAAACTAAAAGCTAAAATAAGATGAAAATAAGTCCTACCAAACCGAGCCATTATTTAATCATTTCCAATTATTTGTTACTTCTGTTTATGGCGTTTTGTTACTTTTGTTTGTCTAAAACTAGTTTTCTTGTTTCTTTTGTTTGATGCTATGTTTAGTTTTAATATAGAAAAGAACTCTGCTTTGTGTAATGTGTATCCACTTTTATTATTTTTGTTTGTTGCTTTTAAATGTTTCATATATATTTTTTTTTGTTATTTAATTATATGAATCTGTGGTCCTAAATCGATCTAATATGTATTTAAACGGATTAGTTTCACGATTTAAATAGATTGGATTGATTCTAATTTTTTAAGAATTGTAAATAACAGATTGATCTTAGTTTTATTCCAATTCAAATCAATTCGGACCATAATCACCCCTAATATGTTGTATTTACACTTAAGATTTAGCAAAATAATTAAAAATAAATAATAATTAAATAAGCTCGGTCAACTAATACCAGATGACATGTGGGTTGATTGGAGTTTTTCATCTAAAAAAGCCTCCCAACAAAATAAAAGAAAACAACTTGACAGAAAAAAACATCTTTGAAAAAAGAGATTATACTTTCACAAAAATACAAATTTTGAAGTGGGTGAAAATTAATCAAGTCTTGGTGTTAGGCCCAATGCAATACTCACTCCAAGGTGGAGCTAGGTCGGACCTCAGCCCTATGGCCAACACTTGCTCCGAAGCAAGACAATCATAGGAGTTCGGCCCAATGTACGAGCGTCACTCCAAAGTGGGCCGAGCAACATGGTGGACCTTCTGGATGGACAGAACCACTCCGAAATGGGTTGAGCAACATATTGGTTAATTTGTGATAATAGCAGCCACTGCATCGAGGAGATAAAACAATTATAGTCACCAGATATATTGAAGAACAAAGAAAAATATATTAATATATTGTTGAATCTTGGGCTTTTTAACAGAACTCTAGCTGCTACCAAACTGATTATAAAATATCCATTAGGCCTCCAAATGCTAAATATAATATATTAAAAATATATTATAACCAACACTAAACTAAATTAAATATTTTTAATAAACTAATTAGGTCTATACTCCATTAAGGAGGTATACTCAATAGAGATATCCCTTCAAGACAGGGCCAAAAGATTTGCCTAAAATTTTATAAGAAAAACTGAAATATTTGTAATTCTTCGCAACTACATGTATCAATTTACCCTGAACGTAATAACATGAGAAGTTGAACGTGGTTTCAAGTTGCTCAAAATGTCTTTTTTGCTGCATAAGAAGAAAGCTTCGCAAGATGCTTAACATCATGATATCTCTCGTCTTTTTTTTACTCTTTGATTTAAGTTTTGTAATTTGAATTATATTTTTTATAAACCGCCAATCCGCCCGAACCGCCAAGGCAAATCCGCCATTATTTGCCAACCGAACTGCCGGTTTTTGATAAGGAAAATGGCAAATTCTAGTGACACTTTTATCAATCCGCCCCCCGCCATACGGTTTCTATTTTTCTCTCAAACCGCACCGACCCGCACCGCGCACACCCCTAATGACACAAATGTCAACTTGACAATTTTCAAAAATTGCAAAGACAAGGAGTTTTTTTTTTAAATATTCTAAAAAAAAAAAATTATTTAGAGAATTGACCCACTTTTAAACTATTTGGGAAAGTAACCCAATTTTGAAATCGCATTTTGAACATGCACTTTCAAATTGAAATTGCATTTTCAATATGTAATTTTAACTTGAAGTTGCATATTGAAAATGAGATTTCAAGTCTACATGGATATATTTGAAGTCTAAGTTAGAAGTCTATATGGACAATGACTTGTTGATGTGGCTTGAAATTGCATGTTAAAAATGCAACTTCAACTACAGATTTCAGAATTCAAAATCGCCTGATTCAGATGAAGTACTTGCAGTCACTTGAAATCGCATGTTCAACATGCAACTTCAATTGAAATCGCATCTTCAATATGCAACTTCAAATGAATTCGCATCTTCAACACTCAACTTCAATTGAAATCCATCCACCTTCAATTGAACCCCCATTCTCACTATGCGACAGTCCTGTGGATTTCAAATACGATTCGAATACACTCACTTGAATTTCACCAGTCCTATCTTGTGGATTTCAAGTACAATTTGAATACACTCACTTGAATTTCCCAGTCCTGTGGGATTTCAAGTATGAAATGAATACACTCACTTAAAATCGCATGTTGAAAACGCAACTTCAATTGAAATTGCATGTTCAACATGCAGCTTCAATTCAAATTGCATCCTCAACATGCAACTTTAATTGATGTCCCATTCCCATCATGCGATTTCACCAAGTGTTCACTTGAAATCGCATGTTCAAAATGCAACTTCAATTGATGTCTCATCCCCACCATGCAATTTCACCAAGTATTGAAATCGCATGTTCAAAATGCAACTTCAATTGAAATAGCATGTTCAACATGCGATTTCAGCACTCCCGTGAGTGTTACCCACTTGAAATTGTATGTTGAACATGCGATTTCACTTGCCATGACTGTTACAACAATTTTGAAGTACGGCGTTTGCAGTAATATTTCTTTATTTTTAAAAAAAATTCTGATAATTTTTTTTATCAGTGACAAACTTGAAATCGCATGTTCGAAATGCAACTTGACTTGAAGTTGCATGTTCAACATACGATTTCAAGTGAAATTGCATCTCCAACAAGCGATTTCATTGGTAACACCCACCTCTTGTCAATGTCAAATTGTGAAGGATTTTCGAAAAATGTAAAAAAATAAAATAAATAAAATTATACAATACTAAAATCATATTTTCTTCATTGACAACAGGCAAGATTCTTGTTAAATCTATTTTTATTTTTTTTTATTGCTTATTTAACTCCCAAAACAATGGTGAACGCCAAACTCAAACTCTTCAGCTCAACATTTTCCTTCTACGAATACTATATTTCAACATGTTGAAGATGCGATTTCAAGTGACCGTAAGTACTTCATCTGAATGAGGCGATTTTGAATTCTAGAATCTGTAGTTGAAATTGCATTTTCAACATGCAATTTCAAGCTACATCAGCAAGTCATTATCCATGTAGACTTCAAACTTAGACTTCAAATATGTCCATGTAGACTTGAAATCGCATTTTCAACATGCAACTTTAAGTTAAAATTGCATGTTGAAAATGCAATTTCAATCTGAAAGTGCATGTTCAAAATGCAATTTCAAAACTGGGTTACTTTCCCAAATAATTTCAAAAGTTGGTCAATTCTCTAAATAGTTTTTTTTTAGAATATTTAATAAAAAAAAAACTCCAAAGACATGACATGTGAGAAAATTGCAAAATTTATGATTTTGTATATTTATTATACATTGTATATCATTTAAATTAATAAAAATATACAACATAATACAAATCTATATTTTTATTTTTTATCATTATGTCTTAAATTATTGTATTCAAACTTGGTATGTAAGTTATGTGTCCAAGCAATGGGTCTACCCCCCAAGCATCTAAAGCGTATTCGAGTCTAACAAAAAAATAAAAAATAATAAAACATAACTGACACCACGAGTCAAAGTCTTTGATGCGTTGTCTAAAAAAATAATTAAAGATAAAAGACATATTTAGACATGTGTTCATCATGTGTCAAAAGTATCTCATAACTATCGGTGTTCAACGCACAGATACACCACCTTCTTGCCATCTTTATGCTGTGTTTGGTTGAGAGATTTAGGGAGAGATTTGGAAAGGAAAAGGGAAAAAATGTGAGAAATTAAGTGAAATATAGGTATATTTTATTTGATTTATTCACATTTCACCTACTTTTTCCATTTCCCTTTCCAAATCCCTCCCCAAATTCCCCAACCAAACACAGCATTAAAGAGTTTGTACTTATTGCTAAAGACCCTACTAGAGCTGACTAATAAAGCTATAGCAAATTCTTCATGTCAATTGAAGCGAAGTATCAATTCATTGTAGAATTAATTTTGGATACACAAAATCTTGGACTACCATTAATGATTTTGGTAATCCTAAATTGTTAAACGCAGAGTGAAATTACTTTCTCAGAAAATCCATTAATGAATTGGCTTTTCTGCAGGAGGCATTATGTGAAATTTCCTCCAAGAATTCTTGAAAAAACACTACGAAAAGCTTTTGCAATGTGACCATCATCTGTTTGGGCTCAGCCAGAAACCTTTCCCGATCCTTGAATCTCCTTACTTTTGCTCTAACATCTTTGGGGCTACTGATATCTCTTTTGATTTTCGAGCATACCAATCACATGTCCCTTCGAGGCTGCCATATTCTTCCTCGTCTATTCCTACATCTTATTTTGTTCCTCGTCGTTATCCAATTCACAACCTCAACCTAACTCAACGACCTGTTCGTATCGTGGACCCAAATTCACCTATGTCAGATACACAGGTAATTTTCGGTTGATGGTTTTCACGTTCAGGAAAGGTTTTAAATATCAACCATTACGTATCGTATTGTGATTTTGAATTTTTAAAACCATTATTCATTGATATATCAGTTGATACTGTCCAATATTGATCGATTTACAACCGTATCGTTGATACTGATACATATCTCAATACTATTGTTTAAACTCATTGGCTTTTTTAACCTAAAAAAAATATTATGTTGATTTGTTTTATGGTGTTATGTTATAATCAGTTATGGATTTTTCGCGAACATATGAGAATGTTGATAATTACACGTTTGACAATCAAAAGGCAACTCATTGGGATCAAGAAAGGAATAAATGTCGAAAATATTCATGTGATTCAAGGGCTACAACCTCCTCTTGCTTCAGCAACCCAATCCAAAGCAGCCTTTCATGCCAAGGCTATCA